TTTATTCCCCATGTGGAGAAAAAAAGAGATGCTTCGTTAGACATAGTTTCAAATCTTAATTCTGCGTTCCGAATCCAAAACTGTTTATTGCGTTGTGATAGCACTGTTTTAGCTGGATAAACAGTTCAGCATAGAAGAGATTAATTAGGTAGCAACTTTTTATACTCGAATTTAAAACTATCATGGAATCAACGGAAGAATATCAGAAAACATCCCAGGTACTTCACGGAACACCGGTGGCAATTAAACGCATCCTTATGATATTTCGAAAAGCACAAAGTTCCCGAAAATTTCTGTAGAGCTTAAATTGAATTTAATTTCATTGTTTGCGTATCCACAGCTCATTTATTTGACTTCTGAAAACGAAAACTCCGTGGAAAATGAGAGGTAAAGCCACTGGGAATGGATTTTGCAAGGAAAATTGAAATGACACATCAGAACCTAAACATATACTTAACGAGACCGCTGCCTTGCATTTAACATTCACCTCTCAGCAAAGAGCACAAGGCAAAGTTTCATTCATTATCATAAATCACGTGTGCTCAAACTCTTGACTAAAAATAGTGAGCTTAATGCTAACCACAGCGTTAACTAAATATAGCAAAGCTGAATAGAAAAAGTGCCTTGGTTCTTGCTTCCCATGTTTTAAAGGACAAACAAAATATACTATTTCCAAGCCACTAGAAAATATCCCATTCGACTGTGCAAACGGTGGGTAAATTGGCTAAATGCTGATTACTTCTGAGCTGTAAATGTCATGTTAATTAAGCTCTTTATTAACCTCCCAAGTTGAAACATGCGCTGGTAAGCGCTCACACAGAAGTTTATTCCTAAAATTGTATCTCTCATCTTCCCAGCATTCTACAACATTTGTGCGGAATATGTATGTTGTAATGCGTTGTGCGTAATGAAAGTAAGTTACGTCAGTATATAGGAATAAGTCGGTGGTGTCAGAGGTGTGATCACTAATTAGCGAAAGTCGTCAATATAATCACTCGACCGCGATGATGACTTCCGCTAAGCTCGTCCAAACGAGATGAAAACAGCTTTTTTTTTTTTTTTAAAGAAAAAAAAAAACGTCAAGAGAATTGAAGTTACGTCGTGCAGTTTGACATGACCTTCAGATTTTCTTTTACTAAACCACGAACTCAGAGATTACGTGCTGTCCTTCCACTGAGAATACTCGAAAGTGCTTTTTTACGATAGCCGATTAACTGAAACAAGTTGGTACGTTTTAACAAGCCCTCAGTATTCCCTACAACGCTAACAAAGACATAAAAGATTATCAGTCGGCGGTTCACCGAGATATAAAGACAACGAAGAAATGTTTGTGTAAGAGAATGAAATCAGGGCATTCATGGATATCCAAGATTTATGGGATTTAAAAAATAACGACCATTGAAGAAGTTTAGGTTAGACTTTTCGAGGAACCCAAACGGAACTGTGACGTCATTCCTTTCAGCATTAGGTGGAGTTACACGACTCGTTGCTCAATCATAAAGAAGTTACGAGTTCCGCTGATAGGGACATCCCATGTTGGGACTATTTATATAACGCTTATGCAACATCAATCTTCATATACGAACATTAACAGTTACTTAATCTTGCAGGCGTCTTATTTATCCTCAGTAACACCTGGTCACACATTGCGCAGGAACAATAATAGACAAATTTCAGGACTCCTCTTGTGGGCCCGAAAAAGCTTCTTAAAAGTAAGAGACGAATTTCATAAGCTTTGCGTTTGTTAATTAAGAGCCAGTTGTCGCTACTTTCTTTGAGTGCGAGACGACTACTAGAGGAGTACAGTATATTTCGTGGATGGGTTATTGTAAAGGTACTCAAATGAAAGGATGTTGTCGAAAACGTGAAAGAGCTGTACCACGCTTCCTTCAAGAGAATAAACCCACGGTTTATTCACTTGATTTGAAGATTTTACTACAACGCTTCGGTGAACTCCCCCCTAAAACTCTCGGATTATTCGAAAAAGAACACACACTGAACGTCCCGTTGTAAATTCCTTCTCGGTCCAAAATAATGAATCATTTGCATAAACTGAATCTGCATACTAACTACTTATAGGTAAACACGGTTTAATATATTTGATAGCAATTTTCAAAGCTGTTGGTAATAGTACTTATAGTACTTACACATAGTTGGTAATAGTACTTATTCATAACCTTAGCTGGAGATAGGCACAGTAAGATTTATATTTTAAAAATGTCACATTTAAAAATGTCTTGTCCAAGAACTCGTCACAATAACTTAAAAAAGGCTTAAGCCCACTAGACATAGTCAAGAGGTATTTTCTTGAAATAGTGCAAAGGGCGCAGTTGCCAAAACGAAAAAAATATATTTTGATACCACAATGCTGAGGCAAATACAACAGTACTTAAATCTTTAACGATTTCGATTTTCAGACCACGACTCTCGACATCATAAACGCATCATTTGTTTCTTTTTTTTTCCGTTTGGTTTCAGTTGTTTTTTTCCTTCTTTGCATCTCAGTTCGTCGCTTCATTTCTTGTGTTCTTGGTAACGTCACTGTTTAGGTGAGAGCGTTCAGTTTCGCCCAGGGAAAATAAGTGGTTTGTAACATGAATTTACTTTGGTGTAGTACATATCGAGGAAAAAATTTGAGACAAATGATGCGTTTATGATGTCGAGAGCCGTGGTCTGAAAATTTTATATTGCTCCAGTCATTACAGTCATTGTTTTCATGAACATGGAGTTCGTCTAGTTAATTCGAAACACAAATGCATCTTTGACTTTTCTAAATTTCTCTTTCGTTATGTATCCTCTTTCAACCTCCAATTTTCCCCGACAGAAATCGGGTGGAAGTTTCCATTTTTTTCTTCGCTGAACAAAACAGGAAATTTAGGGCAAAAGTTGAAAGCAAAAAAAACGCGCCTTTACAGGAAGTCACGTACCGACATTTCACAAATGATCGATCCAGCCGTCATTGTTTACATTTCTCAGTTCCAAATAAATCTCTCGACACGCCACTCACGACTCGAATTGCCAATTTACATTTCAGGAAATGTTAAACCAGAAGGAAATTCTACTTATATCATGCCGGTATTACGATAAATAATTTTGTCAGGTCATATTCACGCTCTGCTTTACGTGACTGAAGTAGACCCGGAGAAGCCAGTAAGAGGTCAATCATGAACTAGATTGTTGTGGCTGACTGGCAGACGTTCAAGATAGTCTCAGCAAATAAATATCGATGGGATACTTTCAAAGTTAAGCTCCCTTCGAGCAGATCGTCTACCTGTATCGTCACGCAGTAAGCTTTACGAACTTCAGAGCATTGCGGGACGAACTTAAAGTGCGGCTCAAAAGGAGATCTTGCTTATTTTGAAAATGTGAAATATTTTGATTGAGTGCTACGTTCGTCACTCTTTTTTATGTCCATTGTTGAGACATGAAAAAATGGCCTGTGCTCGGCGCTCATTCAATGAAAACAAACGAAAAAGCAGGCTGGCGAAAGATGACTGGAGAGCCGGAAGGAACTTTTATAAACTAATGCAGATTAACAAAACTACCCTCAAGTTGGAGTCTGAACCAAAACAAAAAGAAAAAAATGCAAAAACAAACCACAAAGGAATAGTTTGGTTTAGGATGAAGCGGGATCGACACAGCTTTTAATTTTTGCAAGAATTTTTACAAGCCTTGACCTGTAACTCTTTCAAATGTGTTGATTAAAGAGAAATGTAATTTAATTTATACCGCCATTAGTGTAACTCGCATTTTCGAAAACTTGGCCTTTTTCTCGAGTATACCTAGGCCACTTAAAACCAAGTCATCTATTAAAAGCAATTTAGTTGTATAAGCAAACAAACAAACAAACAAACAAACCAGCAAACAACTTCACAATTTTCATTTCGTGACGCTTTGAACATTATTATCACAGATATTTACGCTCACGCACGTGCCGAACATTTTTGGACTCAACTGTTCAGAATTCCTAGATAGAAAACAGTAAATTAAGACCAAAGAAAAAAAGCCTGGCTTGCTGTGATCATGGCAGGTTCTCACACAGACTGCTGAAATGGTTTCCTGGTTTCAAACGTGCTAAGAGCCAAAGGTTTTGCATTATGATAATAAGTACATGATAAACATTCTTGTTAGACAAAGAAGATGTCTTTCTGAGATAAACATCGTAACGCGACATTGACTGACGCTGTCATCACGGTTCTCCCTTATTCGCGCAACTCCGACATAACTTGATCTTGAAGTATGCGGTTTGGTTCATCGGATCATTCCTGAATTCAATTTAACAACGCGGAATTTACCTTCATCGGTAATAATCGTCACAGACATTTTCGCACGCGACAACGACCCTACTGCTGATTTTCCCGTTGCGCTGTTCGTTGTTTGAGAACAGGATCAAGTAAATTACCAGGTAATGTGTTTTTATCATTATTATCTGTGAGTTTCACACAGGAATGAGTCAGGTCTTTCTTTGTGAATGAGTCATGGAGCCACGCGCGGAAACTGCTCTATTTAAACGAATGCTTAACTCGATCAATACCTTCATTCTCGATCATTAATTAAACAGCAGGTTCGATAGAAAGGAAGGGTGGATGTTGACTTCCTCTTTTGTTTACGGCACAGTTGTACAGTTCTAAGAATATTTTGCGCAACTGAAAAATCAGGTCCTAATCTTTTTACTCAAATCAAGAAAGGATTTCCTGTTTTCCTTCTCAAAGATCATCGACGAAATTTTCTTCAGGAATTGTACGCTTCCATTGAGTTAAAGGTGATCGGAAAGGTAGTTTAAAACAACACAAACGTATTTTCTCATTGGCATCAACATATCAAAGAGAATTTTTTTTTTCCTAAAAGCCTACAATTCCGTCGCGTACAAACTGATCGATTTGCCGTTAGCAAAATATTACTCGGCAATCGGAAGTCGATTGTCTACATAGCGAGAGAAGGTCGACAAAGAATTGGAAAATCAGTGTTGCGCTTCGAAATTTGTATTTCAGAATACTACTAATAAAGCAATTTCACATGTCACAGTTTACGACCAACTCATAACAGGTTCAAAATGCTTTTGACAAGCTTTACATTAAACCTATACGTTATCAGTTCTTCGACGGGTATATCAGAGAATTCATATCTTCCAGCAGAGCCAGACAAATTAGCTGACCCCTAAATTAGACTGGTCTTCACGAGACGACACTCGATGTTAAAATAAACTAATCACAAAAGCACAACACGCTTATAATCGAAAGGAACAGTACATGGAAAAGCACAAGTGAGACAGGCAATGCCACTGTACACGGATGAAACAGAAAACTATCGAATGTTTTAGATCTTGTTTACATTTACTCGAAGCAGCTTTAAACATTTCATGCGCATAAAACTTTCTCAAAAATATTTGGCATTAAGCTCCCTCCGTCAATTCCTAATCAACGTAATCTTGTTAATAACGCAGGGGTATCAGTGAATGAGTTAACTGGATATCTGTCAGCTGCCAGCACAATAACTTTATGCTTATCGAGAATTTTATGCATTCCAACCACTTGTTTGCTATAATCTTTCTGGCGACTGTATGTTTAATCACAGGAAATTGTCTAGTTGATGCTTTTGTAAAATGGTTGGCAAACCCCTTTGTGTTCACGTAATTTTTTTCGGTAAGTATCCCTGGTTTTTAATTGTCAAAGCGTTAACCGTTTAATTTATGATGCATCATTTAGTACAGCAGCAGGTAAAATTCAGCTTAGTTCGCAATGGGGCGGGGGGGGAGGG